GATCTTTTTTCCAGAATAAATTAAAGTAGCTATAATTACTTTTTTCCTGGGAATTAAAGGTTTTTCTATCTATCAGGTAGAGAAAAGCTGAAGAAGCCTTCTACTTGGGTTAGCATGGACAAATAAAAAGACATATTTGAAGATGGAGGTTGATAAATTGGGATGTTGGAGGGGAAATTATGTTACAAGATGGAGGAGAATGGCTCAGTATCCCTGGGACTTCTTTCTTGACCAATACTCCTACCTGTGGATTGCTTTTATAATCTGGAATACTCTTTTGCCTTTTCTTTGCTAAGGACATCAGCACCTTTAAAATCTCCTGTCACTGTCATCCAAGAGCCCTGTGCTGCATCTGCAAAGCTCTGAGCCCCACAGAACTGCTGTTGCTCCCAAATTCATCAAGGGGGTCACTGTCAGACAATGAGACACACTTGCTCCCACGGGGTTTGAATGAGCTGCTTTCTTTCAAAACACCCTTTAATTGACAGCTAGAAATAGCTTTCCATGATGACAGGCTGTCATTAATATCATTCACCAGAATGATACCCCAGTGATAGTCTCTGTGTTTAGAGGAAAAGGGAGAGAGAAATCCTCTGCAAACAAATGTTTCAACAGAATACGTGAACTGAGCTGTGGTTTCAAGAATGACAACATGAATATAAAAATGTACATTGTGAATATTAGTATTCCCTTAAATATGTACTCACGTTGGTTAATGAGTCCCACCGGTGGCGTTAGTAACTGAAGGATTTGGGTTGGCACGTTATTAACTTGTTAAGTAGAAAACAGTGATGCAAAACTACTTGTCATGTGTATTATAAGATATTTAAAAGTTTCACTCAGCATAAGCAGCTGAACAGTATTAACAGAGCTGCCTTTAAAATGATCTGATGTTTCTTTGTGCCATAATAATGTAAAATCCCATTGCTTTAAAAGGACCTGTGCTCCATGGACCCTTGGGAGGGAGGCACTGGGAGAAGGGCTGGGGAATGTCCCTCCTTCTCTGTGCTGAGCCAGCAGCAGGCAGAGACCTGACAGCTGATCTTGGGTTAGGATAAGCTCAGCCCTGTCTTACACAGAGGATCCTTTGCAGCTGCCACATGGGGCCAGGGGGGTTTATTCTGTATTTTCTGCCTTATTCTGCCCCACTGGTTTGCTACTTTCTAATCAAGCTCTGTCCATCCACCAGCCCAGTGGTGGTGTAACATTTGTGCTGAATGAAATGATGCTTTGTTAAGAGACCGTTGGGATTTTAAAACAAATAAAACTTCAGGTAACTGTAGACCAGGTTGCTGCATCTGCTGGCAGCAGCAGAGGGATCCAGGCATAGGAGAGAAGGTCACAGCTGGAATCTGAGCTGATTTCCACCCAAGGTTTGAAGATAGTCTCTCATGTAAATTAGGGCAGAGCAGACACTGCCTCAGCATGGACCCTATTTCCTATGGGCTTCTTCTAGCCATCTCAAAATCTGTAAAGTAGGGCAAGCAATTAAGACGCCAGAGTGACTCCTGGAACACGCTCCCTTGCTCTGGGATAGAGCTGGTCCTGAGGCAATGGGGTCACGGGACTGACGTGGGCTGTGCTACCTGGAATAAATAAGGTGGCCCTAATGAGCAACTATCAGCCCTTTTGACCACTGCTCCCCACCTGCATGACCCAGTTTGTCAGCATTCCTTGCCTGGGGCCCCATGGCAATTGGCTGCCTTTACTGGCACAGTCCCTTGGGGAGGGGAGCTGTTCCCAGTCAGGATGCCACAGGGGCCATGTGCATTGAAGGGCACGCCACAGGATATCTATTGATCACCCTCATTTATTTTTCCAGAAGCCTGGAGTGAGCCAGATTAATCTGTAGGTGACATTTTCAGTGGCCTGCAGTGTTCATTTGAGGCATAAGACAGGCTCAGACATGAGCAATACAGAAACGGTGACAATATTTCATAAAACATGGCTCTCTTTGAACTGGTTTGGGTGCTGATAGTTGTGCCAGATGAAATGCCATCTGAAAGTGCAGGTGCTGAAGGGAATCTCATTGCTGTCCTGCAGTATTTGGTGGACAACTTGTATGGGTCTCACGAGGGTCAGGGAGGCTGGCAGAAGCCAAGGTGTGGCCCTGGTTACTGCAGATAACTCAGCTGGGAAAAGGGGTTTTCCCCAAAGAACTGGGCAGGAGGAAATCCACCTGCTGTACTGCCTGGGAAACCTGGAAACAGCACAATGAAAAAAGGACATGCACACATCTATGAGCCATTCATCGTTTGTCTAGACCAAGGAATTACGTTTTACTGCAAGATGCAGAGGTCAGCAGAGGAAAGGCCTCTTCTCTTTCATCCTCTCAGAAACACAGGCAGGCTGTGAGCCCTAAATTTCAAGCTCTGGGACTGTGGTGTAATTTCAGCCAGTTTCCATCCCTGCTAAGGGAGGGCCAGGGACAGATTGCTCAAGGAACACCACAGTGCAAAGGCCTTCAATTCACTCTCCTGGGCTCCTGGCAAGCCATACATCAGTCACCAATGACTTGACAAATCACAGCAATATAGCTAAGCTTAGAAGTAAAATTTCACATTATCCTTGCTTATGTGGGTGGGAAGCTGAGAGATGCGAAATCTAAGAGGGCTTAAAGGAACTCTTACTATTATTAAATGGTTTGCTGTTGGTATTTTTATAGTTCTGACATGATACTTTCGTGGTTCAGGCCTCTCAAGTTCAAGGCCGCACACAAACAGAGGAAAGGATAAATCCAGCCTGAAGAGCCAGCAACTCAGTTAAAGGCAGGAGAACCAGGCAGATTCAGTCAGGCAGCCAGCCCACCTTGTGTGGAGCATCATCAGTGATCTCTGCACTCTGGTACTTATCTTTGTCCAGTATTTTAAGACATGGAGCCAGAGAAAGGCTTAAGGAATGATTTGAAGAAGAGAGCAAGACGACAGGGAGGATTGCTCCTGCCTGCAGGCCAGCGATGGGTAAGGCGGCTTCTAGAATCCTTCACGGTCCTATTTGCATGAGTCAGTGCTCTGAGTTTGTTCATCATGCATATGAGGAGTATCAGCGGTGTGCAAAGGAGCTGCTGGCTTCAAGTGTGGAGGTGTGAGTGAATGTGAGAAGCAGAGAAGGAAGCAATAGATAGCAGGGAATGGCCCCAGCTAGAGCACTTGTCATTGCAGCTGAGATTCCAAGAGTTATGGATGCCTCAGTAGGCTAAAGATTAGGCATCATTGCAGGGAAGTTCAGAGAATCACAGAATTGTTAGGCTTGGAAGGGATCTCTGGAGATCATCCAGTCCAATCCCCTTGCCAAGGCAGAGACACCAGAGCAGGTGACAGAGGAATGCTTCCAGGTGGGTCCGGGATGTCTCCAGAGAGGGAGAATCCATGGCCTCCCTGGGGCAGCTGGGCATTCCCTGCAGGAGCGCAGCACTGCCGCTGCTCCCTGCAGGGATGGGGGCTCAGAACCCACCGAGTGTGACAGCCACTGAGGTCTGACACGAGCCGGCTCACGGTGCCAGCCGTGCGGGTGCGGAGGCGGTGCCACAGCTCAGGGGTGCCGGGCAAAGACCAGGCACGGCTCCGACTCAGGTTTCGGCTGAGGGAGATGAGCGAGCACAGAAGCTGGAGCCACCAGCAGTCGAGGGAGGTGTCCTGGCGGTGCGGTGGGATGGCCCTTCAGGACACAAGGCGGGTAAGTGCTGGCCCCGGGGCAGACGAGGGGTCGGATGGGCGGGGAGAGGATGAGGTTCCGCCGGGCACGGGGGTGGGAGCCGGCGCCCGGGAACCCGGCGCGGCGTCGAGGCGCGGCCACGCGGCGGGGCCGGCCGGAGAGAACTACGACCCCCAGCGTGCCCCGCGGGGCGGCGCGAGGCACGCGCCTGCGCGAGGAGGCGCGGCGGGTCGGAAGCCCCGCCCGCGGCGGCGGCGGGCGGCGCTGCTGGCCGGGCAGGACGGGGCGGGGCAGGGGTGCCGGTGAGGACCGGGGGCGGCCCGGCCCGAGGGGAGGGCGCGGGGTGGCGGCGCCTCGTCCGCTCGACGCCCGGGTTGCCGGGCCCTGGTGCGACCCGGAGGGGAGGTCTTGAGGGTGGCTGTGGCAGCAGTCCCCCAGGTCCCAGCTGGAGCGGGATCAGTTGCTTTCAGGGCTTGAGGAAGGGAAAACAGCCCGTCTGCCCAGGGGCTGGGCACGGGCTGAGCTGGAGGCAGCAGCAGCAAGGATTTTTTAATGTTTTGGGATGTGGAGGTTCATAGGTGGAGGTAATGAGGGAGTAGGAGGTTTGTTTTGGTTTGTTTTTTTTTTTCCTATATTTTTTTTACCCTGTGAGATTGAACTGTTCACCTGTCTCAGATCTGGAGAGTGAAGTAAACTTGAGAAAGCTTAGGAGTACCGTCTGTTTACTTGTTTCCTGAGTGGCCGTAGGAATTTCTTCCCTTTTCTTTTCTTACTGCTGTGCTGTTACAGGTGTTTCTTCCAAACTGAGATGTATGAAGAGGTGTTGTCATTTACTACTGATGTTCTGTCTTTTACAAGTCCTGTGTCTGGTGGATTCATGTAGTCATTGCTGGCCTGTTTGCTAATAAGTGTGACATTTGTTTTGCTACTTCTTTACTTATCTAGTTTCTTTATTGAGCTTTTGGTTTCAGAGATGGTGGACTGGAAGCTGCTGTTTAGTCTGAACTCTTGGTATTCTTTCAGCTGCGATGCAAGGGGACCAGCAAGTTTTCTAATATGTTAATGCTTGCACTATGTCTCAGGAAGGATGAGATATACAGGGCTCCAGGAAGGTACATCTCCAAAGCACTTGTCCCATCAGATGCTGTTAACAGCTGTTTGAGCCTTTTACCCGATTTCTTTTTAATGGTAACTTGGATAGATTTTGTCCTGTAGTGTTTTCTTGCATCATTGTAGCATCTCATATTGCTCATATTAAAGTTGGCATCTGAACTTTTATGCAAGAATGAATTATTCTGAAATTCATAACATAACTAGTATGTTAAAAGTCTAGTTGATTAGTTCCTGCTGTGTAGGCTTGGGAAATTTGATTTCAGATGGTTTTTTTTTTTACTTCAGATATTTTCGTTTCCATTTTGAAGCACTGAATTCTGCCCTTTGCAGCTCAATTTCCACATTAATTTACAGTGTGGACTAAATGTTTTGTTTCAAAGAGTGGCCCTGTGGCCCTTTTATACATTCTTGTTCATCTCAAAGTTTGAGTTGCTCTACATTAATAGTGTGTTTGGTTTGGTTTTTCTTGTAAAGTTAATGTGTCTGGACAGATTTGAGTGGTACCAAAATCCAAAGGAAGAAAGTGATTAAAGCCTTTTAAAAAATGCCTGTGTGCCTGATGCTAAATAAAGAGGACCTTGGATTGAATAAACACTGATAGGACCTAAAGTTTCTGTTCTGCACTTGAGAGATACTTCAGTTTGCTTTCTTTAGAGGGCCTGATTACAGCTGGTTTGGTGCTTATCTTGTTTTGATTCTTTTAACTTTGGTAGGCCTTGATTTGATTTTTTTTTTTTAACACTCTTAAATTTTGGAAATGGAGTTCTGGAAGATACTTCACACATTTAAGTATTTGCATTTTACCCTGTCTCTGTGTCAGTCCTGTGGCCACCTGCAGTGGAGGGCCCCAAGGCAGGCGTGGTGACATCCAGGTAAATGGTGCCGGACTGCCCACTGTGCCTGGGCTTACAGGCGAGCATGGAAGGCTGTAAGCAGCTGTGCTTTTGTCACAAGTCTGTCTTCAGTCTGAAGCAGGTGTTTTTGCTAGAAATGGTCCTGGTGTTTCACTGTACTAGTGATGAGCTGACATAACAGTATGGTGCGATGGCAAGCAGGGGAATAAGAGAAGAACTGGACAAGGTGAGGCTGTCAAGACATAACCTAGAGCAGAAGTGCTGGCTGTGCTGGGGACCATTTCCCTTCCCTAAGAGAAGTGATCTCAGCTGGCCTGAGGCCAGCTGAAAAGTTATGTTCTCCCTAGATGAGTTGTATAGGTAAAGATCCTTCTCTTCCAAAAAAAAAAAAAAAATTCAGCTGTACTTGTTACAATATTTTTTTTTCCTGTGGTTGAATATTAGGGTCAACATTTTCCCTGGCAGATTTTCTGGGTTGTATGGAAACCATGGCGCACTGTAGCTGCTACCCTGCTTGGAGCCTTTGCCAGAGTACCAGGACAGAGCTTTGCCAGAGTACTGGCTTTCTTTTAACACTTTTGGAAGTCATTTGTGAAGATCAAAAGTTACCAGTGTACTGAGCAATGCAAATCTTGTTTCCCTATATCCAGGCTGAGATTCATTTGGCACTCTCAGGTGTTAACCTTCATTTTTCAGATAATGAAGGTGTGCAGCTATGTAAGTGGTTTGAACAACTGTGGCATTCATGTGTATGAAAATGAAGTAATTATGCATGCCAGATACCATTAAACAAAAGGTGGCCTACTATGTCTCCTTTCCACTAAATTAGGCCAGTGTGCAATAGTAGCTTTTACTGAGTAGATGTGTAGTAGCTACAAATCTCTAGCTCCTGGCAGTGGGAGCTGGAGATTGAGAGTACTGAAGTGCCATAAATTTCAGAACTTATCTCAAAGACCAGGGCTGGGAAAGTTTGAATGAAAACTAAGACATGTTGTTTTTTGACAGCAAATGGATTGACCATTGGAACGAGCTGTCTGAAGGTAGAGGGGAACCTCCATTCTTCATGCTGCAATTCAAGGCCAGAAACTTTTCTGAAAGATGTTCAAGCCTTTGGGCTCGACTAAGGAAGTGGAAACTTTAGGGGCCAGCATTACATGAGGTTGAGACCAGATGGTCTGATGGGCTTTGTGAATTCAGGTGTCTGTGCTGCTAGAGCCAAGATAACTTGTCCATTCTCTGCAAAGTGCCATGTCATCCCAGGTGTCTCTGTCCTGGTGTGAGTACATGGTTTGGTGAGCAGCTGAGCTGACCAACAGCCCCAATGGCTCATCTCATTCCTGCTTCTGCCAGTGTGGGCTCATCCTCTTTTTGGAGCTTTGGTATTCATCCAGCCTGGCCCTGATCTAATTCGTCTCACTAAACCAGCCAGAAACTATCTTGTTTTAATTGTGTTTTATTCTGGCTGTGTTAGTCCTTTTATGGGTTCCTGTGGTTGAATCGGCTTGCAGAAGAGCCAGACAGGCTCAGGAACTGGTGTGTCGTAATCAGCAGGAGAGCAAGACTGAGAGGGAAGGACAGGCCTGCCTCCTTTTGGCCTCCCAGAACTGTTGGCTTGGTTAACTTCATTTGTGTAGTTTCACACTGGTGCATTTTCTTATGGCTCCCAGGCAGAGGCAGGAGACTGGACTAGAGGATTTTTGGTCTGATCCTGTGCAACTATTCTTTTCCTTAATAGCAGATCTGTTCTTCCTCTTTGGCTTTTGCTGTATGTGTCCCTGTTATTGCTTCTTTGTTTTAATTTTTGTTCTTTCCTTTCTCTACATTTCTTCTAAGTGACCAGTCCTTTGCTGTGTGGAACTTCTTCAGACTCCAGCTTAGACCCGTTTGCTCATCTGCAGTTACTCTTGGAGAAGGTTTAAAAATACACAGCAAAGCCTGTCTTAGGAGACCAGTCAAGGAGCTGACGAAAGTGGGTTGCCTAGCAAAGGTGGCCTAATAAAATTGGAGTGGAATTGTACTGTGCATCTTTGGGACGGCTTCTGGGTGGTCTGTTCAGACAAATTCGTGTCCTGCTGGTGTGGAGTCTCATGTGGGTTTCACTGTGTTGTCAAGTGAACTGAGATGTGTTTGTTTCCCAGCTTTGTAGGGTGCCATAGCTCCAGCAAGTGCTTCCCTAAGTAATCAGCGCCTTCAGCCTTGCACATTGTGATCTCACAAGCCATCGCGTCTGTGATGTCACAATGGAAGAGATTCTGGTGCTCTGACTTGTGTGGTCGTGCCTTTGACAAATCAGCCAAGGAACCCTGCGGCAAGAATGAGCTCAAGAAATGGGAGAGACCTTCCTTAACCCAAGAGTGCCCTCCATCCTTTAGTCAGCCTTTTCCGTGTTCACTTATCTCTTCCCTAATGACCATACAGAGGGAAACCAGTGCCTGTATAGGGTGAATTATTTTTTTCAGTTGACCTACCAAAATGCATGTTTCTCCCAGATGAGCAGTTGCCCAACTCTCCTCCTGTACCCCTCATTCTTTTCTGTTGTTCCCTTCACTTGTATTGCTTCTAATTTTAGACTGTAAGTTCTTGAGAACAGGGACCTCCTCATCTGTAGTGGGAAGAGCCTGGGTGTGATTGTGGAGTACTGTAAAAACAAAACAATGAATGCCAAGTTGTATCTGAGCTGAGTAATGATGGGGCAGCATATAGACGTGCCATGACATTACAAATTTTCCAAATTACAGGCGTGGCTGTCTAGCAGTGCCGGAGAAAAACCCGGCCAGATTTGAAGGGAGTGCAGCCATGAAGTGTACTGTTCTCATGTTGAAGTGATGATACTGTGAGGTTAACAAATTAAAGAAAGAAGCAAATCTACCTGTCTAAAATTGTGTTACTTTATTAAACAGTTCTAAAAGCTTTGTCTTTTGTTATTTGTTTTACTTTATGTTGGTTGCTTTTTTTTGCAAGTTTGAGTGGTGAGAGTGGATAAGATGGTCTTGTTCATAGTCTCTTGTTTCCTGCCTCACAGGCTAGCCAGGTGCTGTCATTTTTGTACTGTAGTTCATCTAATGAAATATTTGGGTTTAGGTTAAGGTTGATTAAAAAACACCCTGAGTATCTCTATTGTTCTTCAGTTATATTTTCACACAAGTGAAATATGGGCTCACATTTGACCTTTGAGTATGCATTTGAACAGCTACCAAAATTGAAGTCCTGCATTTTTTGTTATACTGTGTTCCAGGTGTCGTTAAATGTGTGCAATTTTGTTCTTCAGAAAGCATCTCTATTACTCTAACTTTTTTTCCTCCATAATTCAATAAAATAGACAAACCTGACTTACATTTTTGATTGGTTTGCGTTGCTCTAGCCTTGAGTTCAGTTGTCTGTTGGAGGCCAGGAGTCACAGCTGCCCCTCCCCAGGTTTTGCACAAATAATAAACTGAAGCATTTTACTCCCAGAGCTTGCTTGCTTTTATTTTTTAATTTCAGTTTCTCTTGTAGTTTAGGTTAGTGTGGGGTTTTCTTGTTTGTTTGTAATATGGTGGAGGGCTGTCTTGTCATAACAAAGTAATTTAACATGTAAGTGAAGGCTCTCATAAAATGTAATTTCTTGGGTCAGCCTGCCAATATGAAGTTAGGTGTTGTCTTCCTGCCCCTTCCCTACTCAGCTTATCAAACTGGAAAGTAAAAGGGAATATTTTAGGCTCAAAGCCAAACTGTAATTTTAATTAGTTCATATTTATGAATTAAAAAGTTCATATTTATGTTCTGTGCCAGGAGTCATCAAGCTCAAGTTCTTAGTAGGCTAATTTGTCCTGCCACTGATGAATTTGAGTCCTCTGGAGCTTGTGTGGTGCACATCTCTGTGGCTTTGGGGCTGCTCTGCAGGCAGGGCACAGCGTTTGCACTGCCCTGCTGGCTCTTGTCACCAGCATTCTTCACGTGGCAGGAGTTCCCTGTGTTGTTCCTTGCTGCTTTGGTTGTCCCTAAGCAACTTTCCCAGTAGGAAGCCTGGCGTGCAACAGCCGCCAGTGCAGATTCTGCGCTTCACACTCAGTGGGGCCCCTGGCAAAGCTGATGGCTACAGCTGACACTTGCCTTTCTCTTGGCTTTCCTTCTTTACTGGTGATCAAACTGTCGTGCTTTAGTACCATGTGCTTGGACTGCTAAAGAAGCAAGAGCTGTGGTCAGCCTGAACTTGTCTTGGTACCTGCAGCTGATGTACAGAGAACATTTTTCTCTTAATTTATTTTTAAAATATAGATGCAGATTTTAGCCAGTACTGTCACATGGGACACACAGTGTTACACAGCACAGAACACAAACTATCTTCCAGCTGAAACCCACCACATACAGCCATTTCCCATCTTACTGGGTGTAGCAAATGTAAAGTGCTGTCATATTTTCCTAGGTCTGTGTACAATCTGTCAAAATAATTCCTGAGGTCCAACCTCAGTTCATGGTCCCATTACATTTCATACGTATCTGTGTGAGGAATTTGAGCTGTGTGATATGAAATATTAACCTAGTAAGGTTGACTGCCAGATGTGACAGCTTGCACTGTCTGAGATTATAATCTGATCCTGTGTGTATAAGAAATATATATATGGTGTTTTATGTAGGTTTGGAAATGGAATCACTGAACATGTGGATTTATATGGCTAGAGCTGGGTTTTCAATTTTTGAAGCTGCATTGCTTGCATCATTTTCTCTTTGAAAAAGTACAGGATAATTACTAGTGCTTTGCATTGTCATAGACATTATAAATGCTTTACATGACATCTAATAAAGTGTGTTTGCTCACCAGCTATCTTGTGCTCTGAGGCACTCTGACCTTGCCAAAGAAGATGATGTGAGGTCTTCCCAGGGCACCCAGAGCAGTGGCTGGGTAAACATACCGTTAAAACTTCATTTGGCTGAAGGTGCAGAGTTTGCAGTGGGGTTACCCTTGTTTGTATGCTGCCTGTGTAGGGAAAGCCACATGCAATACCCCATTCATGCACCTTTGTTCAGAGCACTGCTCCCTCTGCTACACGGGAGAGTGGGGAAGGAGGATGCTTTTAGGATGGGCAGCCCGATCCTGTTGCGAGACATGGACCACTGCAGAAGCTGTTAGTGTAAACAGGCACTGGATGCTGGCTGTTAATTTCCTCCACGGATGTCAAATCGTACTTTTGTGACCTGCCATGCCAGAGTCTGGCATGATGCTGCTGTGTCTGTGTGGGGACGTGCCTGAATCCTGCCAAGGCAGCTGGTTTACTTTTGCCATGGACTCAGTAGCTCTGCACCACTGTGCGTAGTGCAACCCAGCCTGAAGATTCTTGGGTCCGTGTCAGATACCCTGGTCTTGACAGTTCAGATACATTAGAGAAGCGATCTTGCTGTGGGTGGGTGAATAATACATGTTTTATTGCCTGTGTTTGATATAGGGGTTGAAGCCTGTCTGCCTCCTCCACTCCAACAGTGTATTTTATTTGATGCAGTAGGCTAAAGACCAGGTTTTCCTGCAACTTACAAGCTGCTTTATTCTGAGATATTATATTTGTTGTGATGGGTCTTTAAACTCATAGTAGTTAAAAGATTTAAATCATGTATACCTTAAATATCTTTTATCTGGCACATGTTAGAAGAAAATATAAGTAACTTCTATTTGGCTGTAATGCATTTATGAATGACAGCCAAAGCTGTAGATGAAAAGGCAATCAGTTGAACTGAGCCCCTTTAAAATAAATGCCATGTTGGGCTCTTCATTTTTGGTTTTGCAACTTGAATTTTCAGTTTTCAAGGTACCTGCTGTCTGGCATACTGCTTTAATAAAGCAAACAGCTCCAAAACATGAAAGCCTTGAGGCAGGGGCAATTCATATATATATATGAAATTGCAATGTGGGCATTGGCTTGGTCTTAAACATTTCAACTTCTTTGATTTTTGCCTTTCACTCAAAAGCTTGGAAAGGGAAAGTTACCAAATGCATGTTTACTCGAAGCACACAACCTGCTTAGCTGCAATTATCTCCTAATCTGGTCCTTCCGAGTTTCTCTGGTCTCGCAGGTAAATACAGATTTAGCCGTTATTCAAGGCATATTGTTTACCTCATTAAGTGTGTGTTTTGGCACGTGCATTATTTACCTGACGGACTAACGGATGGGAGAGAGCAAATGCTGTCTTTTGTGCAAACAGTGACTTTGTTCATGAGCAGCAAGTTCCCATTTTGCTGTGGCCACTTTGTCTCCTTGTCTCATGGTGGGTGCTTCTATCCCTGCATGGTAGAGCAAAAAGCCAGCACAGGTGTGGGGGTGCCATGCTCATAAAAGGGCAGGTGGGTGGCATGTCAAGTGATGGAGTTCTTCCACAAACAGTGGGACCAGCTGTGGGGATAGGTTTAAATATCTTATGCAGCATGATGTGTATGTATATATATGCATACACAATTAGAGGGGGTACTCCTATCCTTGTTCAAGAGGACTGAGTTGGTGCAATTTGCTTGTTTAGCTATCAGTCCCTGTACCCACCCATGTAACACCATGAACTGGTCTTGCATTCTCATCCCTGTAGATCTATTAACAGCCCTGAGGCTGACCCATCTTGGATAGTGACAATCCTGGCAAATTTTTCCTGCAATGTTTTAGAACAAAAGTAGCAGGAGGGGAAATTCAGGTCATCTCAAGATGGGTAATGCAATTTATTTAATAGTATTTGTTAGATGAAAGTATCAGAAGGTGATGGCTGAGTGAGGTATTTCTTTGGGAGGAAGACTGTAGCCTATAGAGTCCTGCTTGCATTTTACACTTCCTGCAGTACTTGCATGTGATTAGTTGAACTGATAGCCTCCTCTGGGAGAAATACCTGAAATTAGAAGTGGAGTGTAGCACTAAAATCACATCTCTGAGAAACCTTGTATACAGAGCAAACGAGAACTTTCCTGGGGAGGAGCCTTCCAGCCACCAGCCACCTGGATTTGTAATGGAAATGCCATGTTTTGGTGCAACTGGCAGATGTTTCAGGGTCAAGCTGTTTGGATAAGATGTAGTGTTGGTATGTGTATCGCTGTGTTTAATTTTTACCATGTATTAGAAACTGCATTGTATATGAAAAGATAAAAGGCCTCAGAAATTTCAAAAGGGCTTAGATTGGATATTCTGTGTTTTAATTGTTTTGTGTTATGTTCTGCTATAATGGGTTTCAGCAGTGGGGTGTGATCTGGTGCCTGGAGCCATGACTGTTGTGTATCTCTAGTTCTTAATTTAGAGTCGTTTGCAGAAGTTAATTTTCAGTTGCCCGTGATTCTGGACACCTTGAGCTCAATCCAAATGTCATCTGTTGTGCTTAGAGCAGGTTACTGTATTATTTCAGGTTTGTGATGCTGGAACCTCCACTGAGAAGCACAAAGGGAATCCCTGTCAGAGGAGGATGAACCAGTAGAGATGAGATGTAGGTGTGCATGAGTAACATGAGTCTCTCTTCAGTTTCAGATGCCTCTGGATGTTCAATGATAGCACTTCTCCATACTGGAGCAGCAAAGTTTCCCCCAAACTTACTTTCAAGGTCAAGACAAGCTGTGTTCCCCCTCTTCCCAGCTGGTGTTCTCGAAGGGTTCCGCTCCATCGTAAGCAGGAAACTGGCGTCCCACGGCTTTGGAGCTTCCATGGCAGCAATGTCATCCTTCCCTCCACAGAGATATCACTACTTCTTAGTGCTGGATTTTGAGGCTACATGTGATAAACCGCAGATTCATCCTCAGGTAAATAGTTAATCATGTTAATTATTGCCTTGCAAGTTGCTGCTGCTATTCTGAGAGGTAAAAGGAAAAAACAGTGCTGGCTCACTAATTTTTTCTGATTTGTCCCACCTCCTTTCTGTTGCTGGTTCTCCAGGGCTCTTGCCAGTCACCTGCTGTCTCAGGAGCAATGCCAGGACTGTTTGGTGGGAATGAATAAAGGTGTCTGATTTCCATCAAGGAAGTGACAATTCATGTGTTACTGAAAACAACTTTAAGTCATGTATACTTGTCATTTGTCTGAACTGGGAAGGATCTAAAAGTTTTTGGCTGGAAACTTGCATTAATAGATGGCAGCCGTGTTTGATTCTGGAAAGAAAAATTCTACTGTTGGTAGCAAACAGCTTTAGGAAAAGAATATTTTGAATGATAGGAATATGTGCAACATAATGGTATTTCTAAGTAGAGAAGAAGAACAGTTTGTAGATAATTTCAGCAAGATCAGGTATCTTGCCTGGGTTTTTACTCTGGAGTGTAATGAGTCAGGAAGAGTTCAGCTTCAGAGGTCTTCCAGTGCTCTACCACTTGAGACATGCAGAGATCCAGATGAAGTATAGAACTTTTCTGTAAACAGTTCATCCACAGTACTGTAGAGCAGATTAGTAAAAAATATTCTCAGTTGTCATCAGGATGGGCCTATGTTTTTAACTAGAAAACTGTACTAAAAAGACAAAAACCCCTGATATTAGGTTGGTAGCGAACAAACAGAATTTCTGGATCTAAAGTGGACTCAACCTCCTCTGCCAAGCAATTGGTCTGCATGTGTTGGTAATACCTGCATTGGGTCACAACAACTTCTTTTTGCTTTGTTTCGACTATCTGAAAGGCTTAAGCAGTTTTCAGCGTGGTGTCTCATTACTGAAGTGACTCAATGCAGCGTGTGCGTTTCCCTTGCGCTTGTCCCAACAAAGGGTTGCTGCAAGCTGGGATCAGACTTGACTCCTGTCTTCCCCAGTAGTGCCTTGGTGGGTGCTGCCTGTTCTTTGTGTTTCTTGAAAAATGGATAGCAAATTCCCTGCTCTTTTGCTGGCTCTTTGTGGGAGGCTGTTGTGGCTCTGCATCCAGTTCTACTAGCAGGCTCTTAACCGCTCCCCAAGTGAGATATCAGGCTATTTCCTGCCTGCTCCGCCTCGGGTGCACAGACCTGTCAAAGCTGTAAATTGGATCTACCTTGTCCCTTTGGATATGGGCTTGGTCTGTGCACATTTTGATGCAAAACCATGATGCATGTGGAGCTAGTTTACAGCTGGCAGTAAAAAGGAGCATGAGTGGAATATGATTACTACTGTTTTAAGGAGCTTTGTCCCCAAGTCCTTGCCAGGGAAAGTAATGGTCTGGGCCAATGCAGATCTGCTATATATTTTGTTGGTGAGATAGCACCTTTAAGGTGGAGATGTTCTTCAGTGTTGTTTTTCCAGTCTGCTGTGTTCAGTGCCTGTCTGCATCATATAATGTGTTGAAAGGACTGTCAGTCCCTCACATCCTCACCAGCAAATTAGTTCGACAAATAAAGAAATTACTTTTTCTACATGGGTCTCAATGCAGCTGGAAAAGCTGAAGGTGCCTGCCAAAATCTGGAAACTTCACAAAATGAGACTTCAGTTGATGCCGTTACCTACCTCTTATGTCTTTGCTGACCAGCATGGCTTTTGTCCTCTTCACTGCTAGGCTGTATGTCATGGTGACCGTGCCATGTATTTCAGTGATGTTTTCTGCAAAGTTTTGGTGACAGGATCTTTCACTGCAGGATTGATAGGCAGGTTTTGGAGGTTTGGTCTGAGGTCAGAGCTGGGAGCTAGAAATGGTCATGTGCTGATCTTCACTGTGATACTGATAATTTTTTTGCTTTTATTTTAATACCTACAAAATAGAATTCTAGGTACAATGAAATTCAAATGCAGTGGGATTTGATGAGAAGGCTGCATATACAGAGCTAAGCTAAGCTGTGATCCGCGTTACTTTAAGTGGGTAGGCATAGCTGTAAGTTTAGCCAGTTCAGCCTAAAAACCTTGCAGGAGTTCACTTGCCACCATACAGCACATTTCGCATTTCTCACTCACTGTTCTTCAAAATATTCTGGGTTCTTACAAGAAACTACTGAAAGAGCTATCCTTTTATGTACACTAAGATGTGTGACTGCCACATCTGCTCCCCCTCCCGTTGTATTTACTCGTGCTCCTCTGTAACTGGCAGCCTTGCTGGCTTTATCCCTGGGGAAGTCCTTCATGCTCATTCGTGAGCCCTGAAGACCCCTTCATTTCCATTCTCTTTCACATTGCCCGATCTCTCTCTGAGGTCTCGTGGTATGGCCTCTGTAATGGGGATCAAGGAGGGTCAAGGACAGTGGTATTCCTCTGGGAAGCCATCTGCATTGTGGCTCTGGTGGCTGAGACTGCTGGCTGAGTGCCTTGTGGCCGCTGCCCTGTGCTTTACCACTCACTCCTGTGTCAGGCATCAAGGGTCCTTCATGTTCCCTGCCCTACACCCACAAAGGAATGGGAGCATCCTTGCAGCCCTGACTTCTGACTGCTTTCAGAAGATACGCCCCTCCATCAAAGTGCTTGTTTATATACACATAGAAACCGCTCAGCTTTATTGGTTTTCTGGATGTATGCATGAATAATGGGACCATCCCGGAGAGAAAAGAAGGTGTGGGGGGTTTTAACTGCACAGTCTGTGTCATGTAGTGTTTTAGCCGTCCAAAGGTCATTAGGGGTTGGCAGTAAGAGATGTTTATGGCTGGCCTCTCGCATCTCTTTAAAGCTTACCTTGTGCCTTTGGAATGCGATCCGGAGCCCAGTGGGGTCAGTTGGGAGCTGTCATTCTGCGGAGGTCGGTGGACCCTGAACGGTGGTGGTGTATTTCATTTTTCAGCTCTGAGTTTTTTGTTTTACTGTCTGGTAAGAGTTTATAAGTACCTGCTTTTATACACTGTCAGCCCAAGAGCTGGATATATATGGAGTTTTAGCTTCATGAGAAGATGCATTAATAAGTGGGAGTCTTGCTCTTTTGTCCCTCTGTCCTTGTAGACATCAATGTTTATGATGGTCAGTGCTTTCAATGACTGTGTTAAGCAGCTCCACAGATTCAGATCTGTGGCTGCCTTTATTAATGCAGTAAGAAGGTGTGTCTCTTTCAGTCAGCAAGCCCAGTATCTTGCCTTCAACTTCAGCCGAGTGGATGAAAAGAACTTATTTGTTTTAATTATAAAAAGTCTGAAGGTAGAAATCAGATCTTTTCAAAGCTGAATTTGAAATTAGCCTTCTATATATGATGTTAATCTCTAATTTATTAAAGCCACTTAAATCAAAATCAAATAAAATTCAAACTCTGTATGTCTGCTGCCTGGAAGTGTAGAAGAGCATCAGATCTCTGACCTGGTAGAAGGAGCTGGATCTAGGAGTAGCTGAGCTGCTAAATGAGCTTTTGTTAATGATAAAGTTGCGTTTTCTCATGTCAGTTTTTTCAGGTGTTCAGTGTCTCAGATTCACTCAAACTGGTAATCATTTAGGAAGTAGTAATTTGCCTCTTTCAAACTCTCTGTAAAGGGAAAATATGAAATGTTCAGATCTCATTGCTGAAGAAGGTTGTGACCAGAAGCAGAAGAATAAATTGTTTACAGACAATGTTTTATGTGTCCTCCTAAACAGTACTTTTTAAATGCAAAATATCTTGATTTTTTTTTTTTGTTAGTGTATCCTAGATACTTCTACTCTGTTTAGCAGGCATTTAGATTGTTATTTCAGGAGAATTTTGAATTATAAGTGCTGTCAGATGAAACTGGATATACTAATAAATATAAAGCATCACTCACCATTTCAACATAAAATTATAAACACTGGCACAGACTAAGCAGATGTTCAGTTACTAATTTATTTTTGGTGTTCAAACAAATCTGGATGATCATAGTACATACTGTGATTGGCAAAAGTGTATTAGCAAATAGGAGCCAGTCTTTCTGTAAGATAATATTTAGTACAAATGCAGGAGAAGGTTATATCAGATTCAGTGTATATTTCCTTGAGTGCTGCTGTAAAAGAGCATTACATGTGTTTTCCCTTGAACATCAGTCTCACATCCAGCTCGCAGTCACGGGCAGGTACAGCTGGAGTGGCTGTGATGATCTGTACAGCTGCCTGTCCTGCTCTATCCGTGATCTTGTTACCGCAGCAGGGACAACTGAGTCATGTGGCTCTGCTCCTGAGCTGCTGTGATTTATAGACTGACCTTGTAATGGGAATGGATGCTGATTTCCACCAAATTTAGGCCATATCAACAGATGTGCAGTCCCTGCCAAGCTCTCTGTGTAGGGTGACTAGGTAGAGGATAGGGAGCTGCCTTGGGAGCCATAGCTGAAGCTACTTTGTAGGAGGAATATGTCCTTGAAATCACAAACTTGCTGCAGGAGGAGGCGATGGACGGATCGCTCATCTGCTGGGGAGCAGGCTGCAAGGTACCTTCTGTGTGCTTTGCATGTAGTTTTCTGTGGAGACTGCATCGAGGCAATCCCAGCTGAAGGCCTGGATGGGAATGCAGGTGTCTCACACAGTAACATTGTGACATTGTCACAATCCTACGCAGAGGTGGATAAACGACCTGTGTGCGCTTGTGCCTGCCTGTTCTATCTAGACATCCCCACATAACAGCTTTCTTCTTGCATTGTTTTTGTGTGGCTGTTAAGCTCAATGCACTAGAAATCACCTGCCAAAACCTTTATTGAGGATGATCATGAGTTGCTGAAAAATAAAGAAATTCAGGCTTGTTTCCCATGGCAACTTTAACCCAGCATAAGTATTACAGTGCAATATTAATCTGTAATTACCTGTGTTCGTGCATCTTAGGCTTGGGTGTAGTTTTAATTACCTGCTTCTCCATTCAGCTCCTTACAATGCTGTTTCTGGAGAAATGCTGTTAAAAATGCATGTAACATAGCGACTTAAAGCTATTTTTTTTCTTTTTACTAC